AACTGCTCAGGATGTTCTCACTTCCTGCCTTGCTTCTTTTCAGAGGGGCAGGAAGAATTTCACCAAATAAATTAGCCAAGTGTGTCCCTCTTCAAGGACTGAATGTGTCTGAGCTACTACAGTTATTGTCTTTTCTCCTCGTTTTAATTCCAGCTTTATTAATGCTCCCACCATTCCCCCTATGGCAGCAGCCAAGCAGCTCTGCAAAGCACAAGTGTTCTCTTCTAAAGGTAGGAGAAATGTCATTCCAAAGCACGCAGAAAACTGGACAGATGCACCCAGTCAAACCATGGGAAGGTGCATGGATCACTGGAGACGCGCCCCAGAAAACCGCTCAGATCCGCAGGGATTTCCCTTTCCAAACCAGAATTCCCATCAGCAGAAGGGAACTGCACTGAGCTCGGGTAGTGTTGCAAGCCCTGCCGAAACACACGGTAAGTTTTTCCATGAACTGCTTCTTGCTATAAAACTCGCTGCAATTACCATCTTTTATGCAAGCCCTTCAGAGCAGTCACTGGGAGACACCAGCACTGGGCAAGGCTTTAGCAGCACCTGCCCAGGAGTTGTGGAAGCTCCTGCCAGCTCAAACACACGCGTGGAAGTGTTATCAGCGCGTGCCAAAACAAATGCAACCTTCCCACTGCTGCAAGCACTTTCTTCTGAACAAGTTCTGCGATAGAATGATAAGCGTTTACTGCTCAAGAGAGTGTTGAAAGAGACTGCATCACTGGAAGGAGGACGAGTCACTCAGGAAGTTGCCAAAGAAGAGTCAGTTTGGCCTGGGGCGCGTCAGAGTCCCGGGGCCGGTGGGACTAGCTGAGTGCCTGGGTAGGAGCGGGTAGGGTTGAGCACGTCTGAAAATCACGATGCTAACGGCCACCCCTGCCAGCGCTGTCCATGGGACAGCAGTGCATGACCGGTACCCGTGAAGGTGCCTGAGGATAAAGCCACCTCGCTGGTCTAGATTTCCAAAGCCAAATGCTGTGACTGTGCTGAGCAGTTTGAGAAGTGCGTTTCTGCAAACAGAAAAGGTCCAGACCCTCACAGCAGGAGCACAACGGTAGCACAGCCGGCATCTGGCTTCATTTCAGCTCCGAGGTGACACATCCCGGAACAAAAGGCTCCAGATTGAGCCGTGGCTGCCCCTCCAACAAGGGCAGCAGCCGTTCGGCACCTACCGGCAGCCCCTGCGGCCCAGGAGGCAGCACGTGTGGAGTTTCCTACTTCTTTGCAGCAGGCACGTGCTCACACCGAGGTTCATTGGGATTGAGGGACACTCCGGAGCAGAGGCAAATCCGTATCCTCTCCAGAGGGCTGCTGTGAAAAACTGCTCTTGCCAGTTTCCTGTTGGAAGCCTCACTGGCAGGCTTTGCTTTTCAATTGATTATGCTTTAAAGAATGCTCCCACTTTCCTTCTTCAGGAAGATTTACCTGAAGACAGCCCCTAAATCCTTTATTAGATATTTTTTTTTAAAAAAAAGGAAATCTCCATTTTAGCGCTGCTTTGCCATTCCGTTTTATCACTGCATGTCATTCCAGATGCAGCGCTGGAACGACTGGCAGTTATTTTTCCATTTAAACAAAGCTGCGGAAGGTCCTGGCAGCCTTCGCTAGCTTCACTTCTCCTTTCTAAGTCCATTGCTTCATACGCAAGAGAGCGGAGAGGGAGCAGGAGAGAGAGCAGAGAGCCCAAACGCTCTCCAGACCGGCCGCCTCCAGCACCCAGTTGAGCCCGTGCAGCAGCTGGGCCTGTGGCGAAACCACCACGTGCCAGATCCTGCCTCAGGTTCCCCGGTACCAGTGCGACAACTGGCCCGACTGGTTTGGGAAATGAAGTCTCCCAGTCAGCGCTGCTGCTCTACATAGACCAGGAAATGGAAAATGTTTCACCGAGGTGCCTTTAAACCCATGGGTCTCATTATGGAGGCTACGGGAGAGTTTTGTAAGAACTGTTTTGTTTCCTGAATTCCCACCCGGGTACATTTTTACCCCAGAAGCTGTCCAGGCAGACACTTCTCCTAGCTTATTAGCAGCCATTTCAGCACACAACTAAGTGCATCTATGCAACAGAGCTGAGCTTGCAGCATGGTGAAAGCTCAAGGGTTGCCAGCTTTAGTCAGTGCCAGCAACAACCCAAGAGAAAGCCTTGGGACTGGCTCAAGCCTCCTGGAAGAGCCCTTGGTGCCACAGATGATGTGCCCAGGTGCCTGCAAGGCCTGTGGCAGCAAGGACAGGAATCTACTGCAGCATTAGTTTTGGTCTTCCCACACAGTTAGGGGAGAGATTTCGCATTTAAGACAAGCACTTTATCAGAAACGCTTCCTGGCTCTTCCGTTACATTTTAGGCCACATCAGCAACGCCAAACACAGAAAGAGGAATCAAAAGCAGCAGAGACAGAAATACGTGCAACGTTCACGAGCTGCAGGAGCTATCACAGCGGAACAGGCAGCAGAGAGGCTGCAAGGGCTTCCTACAACCCCGGGGTAGGCTGAGCTACACAGTGCTAAGGGCACCCAGAGGACGAGTGCGTGACGGTAAATGTCACCTATGTAGCAGCTATGCGGTGTGAAGTGATCCCACACACTGCCCTTGGGACCAAGGAGCAATCCCATGGCAGGGCGCAGAGCTCGGCAGCACATCTCATCCCAGCTCTGCTCCGAGCTGGAAAGGACTCGCTGGCCAAGGGCCATCCCTATGTTCGGACTCTTCTGCAGTACAAGATGACCAGGAATGTTCAGAGCAGCGTGGCAAGGACAGATCCCCATGAACCATGAGCTCCTTCCCATCTAGGCAAAGCTCGAGGTGACCATAGGCAACACAGCAACAGCGGCTGGAATCTTTGTCAGGACACACTTCTAAGAAAGGCTCTGCAGTCCTAGAAACAGCATTCCCTTTCCCCCCATTCCTCCCACTGGAAAGCAAAGGCCATGACGCTGGGTCTTTCCAGAGCTCTCATGCCACTGAGCAGTCACTGATTCCTCAGCACGATCCCAGTTCCTTTCCCATCCAACTCTCCCCACACAGACATACCTAGAAGGAGGTATTTTGCCAAGGCACTAAAATAAATAAATAAATAAATAAATAACACTAGGAATTCTCTTTGGCTTTTGTAGGCTCTCATTTCTTTATTGGCCTTTCACAAGTATGACAAGTTTCAAGGGTTTCAGAAACCGAGCTTGCTCAATAACGTGCTTTGCACAAACGTGGACAAGGAGAAGTCACTGCTTTGTTACTGGAGAAAGGGACGTGCCTGGAAAGGCCTGTGCATGATCCCTCAGCTCCTTCACAAGCAACAACCCCCAGCCCTGTTCCTTTTACAGATAACAGCTCCCAGCCCCATTTCCCCAAGGTCCCCACACCACATGTTCGTGCTGTCACATTCAGGGCACTCTTCATGCACAGCTGAGCTGCAGACACCCCAATGCCCACGTCCAAATCAACCACTTGCAATGATGCACACGAGGAGAATGCACCCCCAAGCAAGCTTATTTTTTTAGCAGTGCAAGCAGAGATTGTCACTCTCCTTTTTAATACCCACTGCAAGAATTGTTCAGCATCACAACATCCCCACACAGCCTGCCAAAAGTGAGTAAAAGAAGCTCTTTTGCGGACAAATTAAAGCTGAGGGCTGCCTATCTGCTGCACACAGGTGTTGCTGCAGGGACGAGCAGACCCCTCGGCACACCCTGCACAGCTGCCAGCCGTGCGGCCCAGGGCTGCCAGGCGGCTCTCGTTTGCCCTCGCCACACCTCTACCCGGGCTTACACAAGAGCGCTCACTGACAAGCTGGAGCTGTTTTGCCATGGAGCGATCTGGAGAACATGGGTGGCTGGCAGAGAGGTAAACACTTGCCACCATTTCTACTGCACAAGCTGGAGGCCAAGTCAACCTGGGCGTTTGGTGACTTCTACTGAAGCAGTAGCTGCACAGCTGAAAACTTAAGTAGGAGCCCCCAGTTAGACAACCGTGGGGAGAGCTGAACTGTCATGACCACATTCCCCTTATGCCAGTGACATGCAGGGACTCCATGTCTGCAGCAACTTCTGTAGCCCAGCACAGCTCATCATTAAAGAGCCCAAGCACTTTTTATTGGCCATGCTCCTCCATAGGCAATGGCAATATGCGATGCTATCACTACATCTCTGCATGCATCTCACTTGGCTTCTGCGCCACCACGTCCGGTGACACAAACACAGATGCAAGATAAACACGTGGCACTGGGCGAAGCGCAGACGAGAGCTGATAAGGCAGCACCCTCAACCCAGCGCGCAGAAGCGAGGAGCCGGCTCTGCAGCAAAGCACCAGCTCTGGATTTCAGAAGTCTATAGCGAAGCCCGTCTTACATCATTGTCAAAATTTCAGCTTCACGTGACTTTTCAGACTGTAGCTACTCTGAAAACTAACAGGGAAACCAACAGATTCAAGACAGGACTGGAAGCTACCTGTCCTTCCTGCAGGCAATGTCAGAGATGCTGAGGTTTTAGAGAGCTTCACAAAGTTACACAACCTCAGAAGCAAGAGCTCAATACGGAATGCAAGGTTTTAGAAGAGCCTTTCTGCCATAGATGTGGAAAGTTTCCAGAACAGCAGAATGCGGAAATGGGAGATCTGGGCTTAATTCATTTTTTGCATGTTATTTGTTCCTGATTCCATTTCCCTACTTGCAAAGGGGCACCTACCTCCTTCACAAGGAAACTGGGGCACCTGCCCAAGTTACACCTAAAGCAGCACGACTGCTTCTGGCTGCAGCGAGTACAGGGCCGAGGTAGAGCTAGAAGCTGGGGAGATCCCTGCTACTAAACTATGCTCCTTGAGCACATCCCAAGACAGCCCCTTCATGGAAAGCAAACACCTTTATCTATGGAAAGATTAAAGCCTGCCAGGTTTTACTGCATTTTAATTCACCTCAACAGCCATCAGTACCATGCACACACAAGGGCATTGCACTTAGACCCCTGCATGAATTATGAGAAATAAAATAAAACAAACAGGACTTTACCAGTAGAAAGCAACTTTGTCCCCAAGCTTCTTCTCATGGACGTTCCTATCCAGCAGGTTGTAGCAGATGTTGGTCGTGGCCCCTTTCATCCATTCCACAAAGATCTTGCCCTTGGTCACGTCGAAGTTGTAGCGCAGGAAGGGCGCCGAGGGCTGCGTCTTCCAGTGAAACTCCTTGGCGATGTCGCCCCAAAACTCTGCGGAGAGCCGGGACAGGGGGATCAATGGGGACGGCGGCGGGAGGCGGCTCCGCGTGCCCGGCAGCTCCCCGCG